CCTTCATTTAATCAAGTGAGCAGTAAAGGTGCTGTGGAGCAATTTTGAAACTTAAAAATGAGACATTTCCAAAGATCTTTGAGTCTTTTTTTTAGTTTAAACGTAATTTAAGACAGCTCCTATGCACTTTACATTATTTATTATGAAACAAAAGTTTTTTTAATTTGATCAAACTGGGAAGTCAACCAGAATTACAGAATGGATTATCTTTCACTTTGGCGGTTTCCTGCATCATAAAACACGACAAACTCACAACCAATCTCACAAACTTCCATATTTGTCTCCTGAGCCCATTTTATTGAAAATGTCCATTGATATTACGTCACAATGCAAGTGAACAAAATCAATTGTAATAGCCATTATATCTAAAAAGGCATACCAGACCTCATCGTCGATGAAAGCCTGCGTGGAACACATCCAACCACCACACGGCTGACTTACTTTGTGCAGACAGTTTCTGTCGCAGTTTGTTTGATAACCGTCACCATATACAACTCTGCATTGGCTCATATTTTGTCATTGAGGGGGAAACTGAAGAAAACCCAGAGGGGTCCTCAAGGCCTGCTGTTGGGTAATGTTGGAAGTGATAGGTACTCCCTTGTGGTTGATTGGTCTCGACCGTGGAACTTTCTTTTCATAGGATAGGACCCCCGAGTGCCCCCCTGACAGCAAGCGGCCCACCATTTCTATCACATTCCACCCTCAGCTCGCAGACGAGGCCGAGCTGCTGCTTAGTTTAAAATGCCAGCAATTAACTGTGTGCTATGTCAGGCGTATTCTCATGCCGTCCATTGCTGGGAATCTTGTTGCAATTGGTCCCCAGCAGCTTAAATCCACGACCATTAGGTACATGTCTGTTATCGTGGCATGCTTTTAAAAAGCCCACTGATGAAGATTACGATAAGATTTGGCCTTTGCAGCATGTGCAGAAATATAAAAAGTCCATTAAAAAACATTTTGGATTGTAGGTAAAAAAATAACATTACATGAAAAAATAAATAAAATAAAGCAAAGATGTTACCAAGATAACAATGTGATATCATTTGTAACAATGTTTTATGCTTTTTTTATATTTCTAAATTTTTAAACATTTTGCCGACTAATTCCTTTTCTCCACATATGATACTGTTGACCAAACAACATTCAGTAACTTTGCCTTCTTTCTCTAGCTTAATTCTAACACACAATGCAAAATGCTTCAAACAGACTAACAAGACTAACATCGGTTTCATGAGATACAACTCGGGCATCGGAGAAAGCTTGCCGATTTTGCAGATTTTACTCCCTGTGCAAACAGCTGCAGCTGCACTAAAGCGCTTTACAGAACATTTAACATAAATCAATAATACAACAGAACGCATAACATAAAACACTGACAGTAATATACAAAGATGTATCGTCTTGTTGTGAAGGTCAAAGTAATGCAAAACATTAATATTTTGCTTAATCCATGTTGTTGTTGTAAGCATTAAGGGACCAAAGTGTTTAGTTAATGCTACACTGTGTGTGTGTGTGCGTGCGTGCGTGCGTGCGTGCGTGTGCGTGTATAAATGTAAAAAAAAACAAATAAATAAATAAATAAATATATAAAGTATAGATACTTAAATGGCCAGTTAAATCTGTATTTGAAGTTTTGTTCTGCCAAATATTGAAATCGGCATCGGTCTAAAAAAAAAAAAAAAAAAACAGTATCCATCAGGGTCCAATTATAAACCCTTCA